CCAGAATGCTTTGAAACGTTACAGATGTTTTAAGGCTATAAAGAGCATTATAAATCTTTAGTCAAAAAATATTTGCTTATCCCCTCCAAAAACTTGATGACGTCAGCTCAAAAGTTTGTGGAATAAATCATATCTAAAATGTACAAAATATGATGAGTCTGTTCTTGTGATCTATCACTCCATTCATATTTTTTGGATTTGCATATACAGAGTGACTCAAAAAAATTAATGAATGCGTAAATATATTTTATTGATTTAATCAGGAACTACAAAACCGAATGCTCTGAAATCTTGCAGATGTTTTAAGGTCACAAAGAGCATAATAAATTTTTAGTCAAAATATATTTGGTTATCTTCTACAAAAAACTGATGACATCAGCTCAAAAGTTTGCCGAATAAATCGTATCTAAAATGTACAAAATATGATGAGTCTGTATTTGTGATTTATCATCCCATTCATATTTTTGGATTTGCATATGCAGGGTGACTCAAAAAAATTAATGAAGGCTTGAATTTATTTTATCGATTTAATCATCATAGGCATAGGCATGCAATTACAAAACCGAATGCTTTGAAATCTTGGGAATATTTTCAAGTTATTATAAGCATGGTAAACTTTTGTTCAAAATGTATTTGTTCATCCCTCCTAAAAAAATTGATGACGTCATCCTTAAATTTTGCTGAATAAATCCTATCTAAAATGCAAAAAATATGATGAGTTTGTACTTGTGATTTATCATTCCATTCATATTTTTTAGATTTTCTTAAGAGGTGGTTCAAAAAAATTAATGAAGTCAATTTATTTTATTGATTAAATTAAAGGCAACACTTATTATTAGTATTACACCCCAACCAACCCAATTTGGTAGACACAAAATTTGTTAAAGGAAAAACTCGGTTGAAACATAAGGGTAGCACGCTTATTTACATCGACTTTAACATTACAGACCTGCATTTGTTTTATGCGCTCACTTGGTTCCGCGAATTTGAAATAGACATGTTTATAATCAACCAATTGTGAATTTCACCGTCAAGAATTAAAATAAAACCCAATGTTTTATATAATAAGCGGAAGTCGAAGCAATAAAACCGATGGTCGTTTTGTTTACAGTTTCTCTGTTTGACTCTCACGTATGCTGTTACGCCTGTCATCTTAAATTAAGAATGTTTATACATGCACGATTTTCAGTTGCCTCTGATACGTATACGTGAGTAAATTGTTTCGTTATTTTATTGATTATTACAAATCAATATTCAAAACGACCCAATTCATTTTCCCGAAAATTTGAGAATATAATAATTTTATTCTTAGTATTACACTACATCTATCCCAACTGATATACGTGTCCTTGCAAAAATGTTGATGACGTCATCGCAATTTTTTTTTAAATTCCCACTACAAAAATGTAATGAGAAAAAAAACACAATAGGCATGCAGTCGTCAAGTTTCCGACAGCGAGGGAAGTACTGTCTAAACTCTTTAGACCAATTTTTTTTTAATTGACTTTCAAATGCAATTTTTCCAAAAATTTTTTCCGAGACATAAACACGTTATATTTTTCGAATCAGTAAGTCGAAATCTATATCCTGGAATTTTTTCTAAATTTTTTAGCAAACTTTCAAAAGCTCTAATATTTCAATCCTTCCTCTTTTGAAAATTTCACCATTTTTTCGACCACCCTCAAAAATTACCCAAAGAGATTTTTCTGTAGATTACGACATCTAGAAGTTACTTTCACTCTCATTTCTTTGAAAAGTTCCTCCATTTTTCCAAAATCGCTCAATGAAACATCGCAATTTTTATTATTATTTTTTAATTGACTTTCAAATGGAATTTTTCCAAAATCTTTTTCTGGGAACATAAATGCGCTATATTTCGAATCAGTAAGTGGAAAACTATATCCTGGATTTTTTTAAATTTTTTAGCAAACTTTTTCAAAAGCTCTAATATTTCAATACTTCCTCTTTTGAAAATTTCACCCTTTTTTCGACCACCCTCAAAAATTACCCAAAGAGATTTTTCTGTAGATGACATCTAGAAGTTACTTTCAGTTCCATTTCTTAGAAAAGTCCTTCCATTTTTCCAGAATCGCCCAATAAAATATGACAATTTTTAATTTTTTTTTTACTTGACTTTCAAATGCAATTTTTCCAAACATTTTTTCCGAGACATAAACGCGTTATATTTTTCGAATCAGTAAGTCGAAATCTATATCCTGGAATTTTTTCTAAATTTTTTAGCAAACTTTTTCAAAAGCTCTAATATTTCAATACTTCCTTTTTTGAAAATTTCACCCTTTTTTCGACCACCCTCAAAAATTACCCAAAGAGATTTTTCTGTAGATTACGACATCTAGTAGTTACTTTCACTCTCATTTCTTTGAAAAGTCCTTCCATTTTTCCAGAATTGCTCAATGAAACATCGCGATTTTTATTATTATTTTTTAATTGACTTTCAAATGGAATTTTTCCAAAATCTTTTTCTGGGAACATAAATGCGCTATATTTTTCGAATCAGTAAGTCTAAATCTATATCCTGGATTTTTTTCTAAATTTTTTAGAAAACTTTTTGAAAAGCTCTATATTTCAATACTTTCTCTTTCGAAAATTTCAGTCTTTTTTCAACCAACTTCGAAATTACCGAAAAAGATTTTTCTGTAAGTTACTGACCTTCAGAAGTTTTTTTCACTCTCAGTTCTTCAAAAACTCCTTCCATTTTTTCAGAATCGCTCAATGAAACATCGCAACTTTTATTATTTTTTAATTAACTTTCAAAAGGAGTTTTTCTAAAATCCTTTTCCGGGAGCATAAACGCGCTATATTTTCCAAATCAGTAAGTCGAAATCTATATCCTGGGATTTTTTCTAATTTTTTTAGTAAACTTTTTGAAAATCTCTATATTTCAATACTTCCTCTTTTGAAAATTTCAGTCTTTTTTTAACCAACTTCGAACATTATTGAAAAAGATTTTTCTGTAAATTACCAACCTTCAGAAGTTTTTTTCACTCTCAGTTCTTCAAAAACTCCTTTCATTTTCCAGAATCGTCAAAAGAAATATGGCTATTTTTATTATAATTTCTTTTCATTTCATTTTTTTTTCCGGCAGCATTTAATATTTTTTCGAATAAATACGTCGAAATTTATATCCTGGAATTTTTTGTTAATTTTTATCAAATTTTTTCAAAAGCCCGATATTTCAATACTCTCATACTTAGCAAGTACTAGCCCCGCCCACCCGCCCTATATTTTCTTGCAAGGTATGTGATTTGCCAAAATCAGTCTTATCTTAGCAAATACTAGCCCCGCCCACCCGCCCTACATTTTCTTGCAAGGTATGTGATTTGCCAAAATCAGTCTTATCTTAGCAAGTACTAGTCCCGCCCACCTGCACTGTTCTCATTCTAACGATTTTATGTCTGTTTAGTATAAGATCCCCTTTTCATTCTGGATAGATAAATGAATCACTGAAAAGGAGACAGGGTGGGTGGGCGGGGCTAATTATATTTTTTTCTAGAGTGGGAATGGGAACTAATAGAACGTAGGCTGTTAAAAAAAACGCCAATCGTATTTTTTTAAATATACTATGTACCATAAGATTTATTGTTTATTCCAGAAGAAAAAAAAAGAAAGAGGGTGGGTGGGTGGGTGGGGCTAAGTTTAACTTTTTCCTACAGAGTTTTTTATAAGGAAGCATTAGCCCCGCCCACCTAGCCCCTCTTTATTCGAGTGACTGCATAATATTGTTCAGTCTTTTATTTGAGAAGATTTAGCAGAACTGACTTTAGAGTTGTAATCTACTAATAATTGTCTATAAGCTACAACTTTTTCTTTTTAAATCGAATCTACTTTAACTTTTTGAGAAATTTTTGAGAAAAATTTTTCCATTTGTTTCGGTTATTTGAAGAGTTATAGCAGAAATAACTTCTATTGAACAATTTACGAAAAAGTCTCTCACCTTCGAAAATTACCAAATGACACTCTTTGTAGATTCCAACCTCTAAAAGTTACTTTCGCTTTCATTTTTTCGAAAATTTCTAACATTTTTCCAGAATTTCCCAATCAAATATGTACATTTTTAAAATTCCTTCTGTTTTTTTTAATTAATTGACCTTGAAACCCAATATTCAAAGATCCACCTCCCAGACTATAAACACACTATATCTTTGAGACAAATTTTTTCAAAAATTGAATTTTTGTTTTTAATTATCTGTAAACCTACAATTATAATAAATATTTTTTAATAAATGATAACAGTAGTTAATTATGCGTACAGTTGTTCTTTCTAGCTAATGACACGATAAAAATAAAAAACCGTGCTTAATGTCAAGGCGACAAAATTATAGCACAACTTGTCTAAAAATAAAACAAAGAGAGTGTTAAGAACATCTTGTCTTTTAAATTCAGTGGCTAACTCCCAATTATGCACCTGTAAATTCACAGAATTTTTTATGTTAATTCGTTTCTAACTGTTCAGATTAAATTTAATGGGTTAATAATTAAATACGCTAAATACAGTTATTTTGGTTCTCTCGTCCTAATTAATCAAGGTGAATTATTACGGTTATCCAGTGGCGTTCGTCTATTTGGTACCCAATTATGTGTTCGATTGTTCTAATGTAAATTCAAATTGTCATTTCTCCGTTTCACACCGAAACATTTTTTTAGCAAATATGACACCACCACTGGATGAAAATAAATAATATCTTCGTGAAAATTGGGGCAAACGTTGGTTATTTTTAATTTCATTATAACGTTAAAGTTTATTTATGTAAAAACATGAGTTGATCTAATTTCAAAATATAGAATAAAGAATTCAATTTTGCGAAATCGTTTACAAAATAAAGTTACGTGAAACGCGTTTTATTCTTTTTTACATTTTAACCATCCGCATTTTAAAAACTATGTAGTAGTTTTTTTTTAAACAAATTTCATAATGCTAAATTTATGCAAAGTTTTTGTTTCAGGTGCCACTCCTGTCGGTGTTACGCCACTGTTTTCGACCTAAAGGTCATTACATAAATATAGAACATCAACACAAAGGAAATCAACTTATCCACGGTCGCCAACATCGCTACTTTTCCCTGATTCGTCTAAAACAGCTTCTTAAAGCCAATTACCGTCCGAAAGTGCTCCACTATTGTTTAAATAAATTGCGTTATTAACAATAGCCCGTAAAATTTAAACATCGTTCCGCAATTGTTGTTTAATTCGCGCTAGTTTCGAATTTTCGTCTCGCTGGGTTGGCAATGGCACAGCTTGACATTCATTTGTGTATACAAGCCAGTTAACGTCAGAAAAGTCGCTCTAGGACCCTCGTAACTTTCATTAAAAAAGTAATTTCCCAGTGTTGTGCATTCTCAGTGTTTAAAAAATGTTCGATTCGTCGTTATCTGAACACTAGCTAAAGTGAAACCCCGTGAAATCCTTGTTTGGTGTCAACAAATAGTGGACTCGCCCATTTTCGCTCCCAAAGCTAGCGTAAAAACTCGAAAACCCCACAGACTCGGCTCGAATAGTGTTTTTCTTTTAATTTCCACCGCAAATTGTAATGTGCCCAAATCATTTATTGCGGAAATCGGTGAAGCGCACTTTGGTCCCGTCGTATAGTTTGGTCCACTCGAAAAGAAAAGGAATATTCATACATCCCACAGCAATGTTCAAAAACTTTTCGAGAGTCAGTGTCTTAAATCCGATATCGACGAAATAAACACATATCCGTCTACAGTACAAACGTTGTGTATAAATCACCATGAAACTTCTCGAGAGTACAAGATTCGAAGCCATCAACAACCTGCTTACAATCCAGACCGGGGACAGCCAGATCATCGGTCGCATAGAAAGCTACTCGTGCAAGATGGCCGGGGCGGACAAGGCGCTCTACAAGCGCTTCAACCCCGAGGGGGTGCACCCAAATGACTTGCAGGCATTGTCGCCCCCTGAGGGGGTCTCTCCTGGCCATTCGCAGTACAGCAGGAGCGTCTCGGGGGATGAGGAAGGACCCCTTTGCGACACGATCAGTCGCAAGACTTTGTTCTACCTCATCGCCACGCTGAATTCGGCTTTCCCCGATTATGATTTTATGGATGTGAAGGTTGGTTGTAATGTTTGTAGTTTTGTTTAACGAAGTGTGAATGTTGTGTAAGGCGGGAACGAGTTGAGAACTTTCATAATTTCTATTTTTAATGTAGGTTTTATGGTATTGTTTGCCAATGTTTTACTGAGTTTTTGAAGTAATTGTTATTTTTAGTAAATTGGCTGATTGTGCCAGAATTGCTTGGCTGTTGTTATCATTGTTGTCTTTTTTTTTGTTTGTAATTAGTTGCAAGCTTGGCTTTACTGCTGATAACTTGTTTTTATTGCTGTGGTAATATTTATATTTGTTGGCGGTCATTCGTGTCGAATTTTTGAATATTTGTTTAGCTACAATGGAAAAAAAAGATTTATTTCTATTTGTATTTTGCCATCTGTTTCTTTCAGCAGGTTGTGAGGTGGTAATTTTAAATCACGGTTTGTTTTTATGCCACAACGTAGTATCAAGTTGTTCATATCTTTTGTGGTTGTATATTTTGAAAAAGATGATTTACTTCATTTCCACTTGATAAAGATTGCTCACTTTTGTTGTAACACTAATAGATAACTAAATTCTCACGAAACACGTAATTATGTATACAAATCAATCGTTTTGGTTGGGTGGTGCCTTTATTTATGTTCCTGTGATGTTAATGTTTGTGTAGTTAGTTTAAAAGTAATTAAATAACCAAAATTTATGTCATACTTTTATAAATCGGTGATGTATTTTATTATTTTTATGATACGCACGAATTCTTAAAAGGTAATAAATTAAAACGTGAACTTCTTGTAAACAAAATAGAAGGAAAATTTTAAAAACAACTAAATGCAGTGAAAAATGCAACTTCGTAGCGTTCGTAGTTTCCAGTTTGAGGCAGATTAAATTGGCGGGAAATCGATGCGTGACGTCATGGTACCATCCCACCGATTCGGAATGAGACTCGGTTACAATATTTATCAAACAATCTCCGGAATTATTGGACTGATTGTGATCAATGTCTTTTGCGTGGTAAATACTCTTTAAATTTTATAAAATAACATACTCCTGTATTTGCGGTTTATGAATCCGCCTTTTTTTATCGCAATTACTTGCATAAATGTTTGTTCAATATTTCCACGTCTGTCATGTAACCGATATCTGGCTTACGCATGGAACAGAGACGCCGAGGCCAAGTGATTAAGGCGTTGAACTTGAGCTCTACCCGCGTGGGTTCGAATTCCATCCTCGTCGATATTGTTTTCTTACACTGACTGGCATAATCTACATTTTATAACAGATGTCATAAAATAAATAAAATTTCGCAAACAATTAAATTTTATTTCAACTTCAAATTCTTCAAAAAAAAATTGGTGTATTTATTTCAAGCTCAGGTTAGTTTGGGGTATTAAGTACGTGTATATCATTGACAGAGCTTCAGTTATGTATGTATATATACTGGGTGTCTGGAGAATGGCGGATTAACTCTTCAGTACGTATTAAGATAAGGCTCATTTTGGCAAATTTCCTCTAAGAAAACGGGGGGCGGGGTTAGTACTTGGTAAAATAGGATCGATTCTGGCAAATGACATACCTTTTAAGAAAATAGAGGGGGGTGGGTGGGCCTAGTAGCTGCTAAGATAAGAGTGATTTTGGCAAATGCGATACCCTCTAAGAAAACAGAGGGCGGGTGGGCATTCCCTTTCTTTTTTCGCGTCTTTTATTTACTTTCTAATTATTTTATTGGTTTTTGTTGTCTCTGTATGTGGTTGAAAATAGGCCAGTGATATCAAAACTTGCTGGTATTAAAACCACATTAGCATAATCTACTTTTAAAGCAACAATGTGATTTTTTTTGTCGTTTTAATTTAATGTATATGAGAATTTTTTTAAAGTGGGGATTTTATATTGATCTTATTGTAAATTTCACACCCATAAAAATTGGTGACAAAAATGTAACAAAAATACCGCGTATGTTTAATAAAATATGGGAAAATACGGGCGTGTTATAAATGTTTCTTATATCGTAGGTGGCCTAAAAAAGTGTAGAACTGAATTAAAACTTTTTTTAATTATTTTGCGACGATTATTTGAAAACGTTATTTGAGTTATAAGCAGTGAACTATAAAATCGAAATGAAAGTTAGTCCAAAGTAAAGCTATTTAGACAGAAATTCAATATCTTAAATGTTGACGAAGATGGGAAACACGTGTACATATTGCTTAGAATTTTTTGTAATAATTGTAATAAAAATCAAGGCGTTTGCATTTTTTAAAATTTTAATACGTCAAATTTTGAGATGACGTGAACAATTTGTTGGTGGGGATGATTAAACAAATTTTAGTTAGCGTTTTACCTTCGACGCGATATTCCAAAAATACATCTAAAATTTGACAACAATCGGTTCGGTAGTTTCGGAGATTACTTGTGTAAGAAAATCGACACAGACGACAGATAGAAGACAGGTAGACGGAAACGTGGGACCTGTTTTTTCTAGGGTTCATGTAACGTCGAAAAAACATGAAAGTAGCCGTTCGCTGGATGAACTGTTAACTGGTATTACAATACTTCGTAGTTTACGCTCGGAAAGTGAAAAGTTATTTATTTATTTTATTTGTATGATTTTTCAGTCAATTAATATATTTATTTTTCTGTGACATTTCTGCATTTTAATAAAAATGCTAATTCTGAATTTTTAAACGACAATAAAATTATTACTGCAAATTCAAGTGAGATTTACGCAAAAAATCTCATTTATTATTTATTCGGGGTTGGAATACCATATACTAAAATTATTTTCAACTCTGCAGAGGGTTCAGTTTTTGAGGAGTAACATACAGCTTTTTTTTGATGCTATGTTGCCATGTTTTTGCAATTTCATTAAAAAAATTTGGCAATCCAGGACTTCACAAAAAAATACAGTCGGATTATTTTTGTGTTACAATATTTTATAGTGAGGTAAACAGAGGTACATGCTTTGTCGTGGTGTCAATTAAATTAAATTTTAATATACGAAGTGTTTATAAAAAAAAATCCGATTTTTTAAGTAGAACACCCTGTATTTTATTACTGCGGCTGAAACTATTAACTTTAGATATAGAAAATCATTAACAAAAAAAAAAAATTGAAAAAACTACTTAGTCGATATGTAGTTCAAAATTGTAATATTTTTGAATTTTTTATAAACAGCCTGTATATTAAGACTCAATTAAAATTATATCATAACAAAGCGCGCATCTTTGTTTATCCTGTCTACAAATTTTTGTAACACAGATTTTAAAAATAACTTCATTTCAATTTTTTTGTTAACCATTCCATTGCTGAAAAATTAAAAAAAAATTGGAATGACGTGCCAAAAATAAACTACGGTTTTGAAGTCTAGGAAAAATATATAGGGTGTTCTACTTAAAAAGACTAAGTTGTGTGTCATCTCTCGAAAATAGAACACTTTGTATAGTTGAAAACAATTTTAGTGATGGCATTCTAACAACCGTACAACTTAGTCACTGACTTTTTTTCTATTTTCAATAATTATTGAGATATCGAGAAACGCGCGTTTAGTGACTCACCCTGAATATAAAATTAGAAATATTAGTAATATTAAAATACAATTTTATTTAGATTTACTTAGTGACGTCACCAATCATAGTTTCTCACCTCTTATTTTGTAAAAAAGTAGGTGTAATGAAAATTCTTTTCTAAAGTTTAACTTCTACGCGCCAATTTCAAAAAATGTTTTTTTTCCATTAAAAAAAAGTGAGTCCATCGGGCGACTGATACTTTCATGCTTTCTTGACATTTCATGCCCCAAGAGTACGAACAAGTGTCTTTCGTTTCCGTCTGTCTGTGATCGTATGTCATTTGCCAAAATTAGTCTTTAGCAACTATTAGCCCCACCCACCAACCCTCTTATTTTCTTAGAGAGTGTCATTTGGTAGAGTCTGATCTTAGCAAGTACTAACCCCACCCACCTACCCTTTATTTTTCTTAGAAGGTATATCATTTACTAAAATCAGTTTTATCTTAGCAGGTACTGTCGCCGCCCACAGTTCTCATTCTAACGATTTTATTTCGATTCAGTATAAGATCCACCTTTCATTCAATTTAGATTAAAGCAATCAGTGACATGGAGGCGGGGTGGGGGCGGGGTTAATTATAACTAATAGAACGTAGGCTGTTAAACAAAGAAAAAAAAACGGTTAATAGTAATTTTTTGTTATACTATTTGCCAAAAGATTTATTTCTGATTTCCCATGAAAAAAAAATGAGGGAACGGGTGGGTGGGCGGGGCTAAATTTAACTTCCTACTGCGAAGTCTTTTATCTGCGAGCAATAGCCCCGCCCACCCACCCCCTCTTCATTCTAGTGACTACTATTATTATTGTTAGTTAATGACAACGTTGTTATCGTATTAGAATCTTTAATCTTAATCTTAGTTAATTATATGTTTTCCTGTAGAGTGGGAATGGGAACTAATAGAACGTAGGCTGTTAAAAAAAGAAAAAAAAAGCGTTAATAGTAATTTTTTTGGTGTATTCTTTGCCAAAAGATTTATTTCTGATTTCCCATGAAAAAATGACAGAACGGGTGGGTGAGCGGGGCTAAATCTAACTTTCTCTTGCGAAGTCTTTTATCTGCGAGCAATAACTCCGCCCACCCACCCCCTCTTCATTCTAGTGACTACTATTATTATTGTTATTTAATGACAACGTTGTTATCTTATTAGAATTTTTAATCTTAATCTTAGTTAATTATATGTTTTCCTGTAGAGTGGGAATGATAACTAGTAGAACGTAGGCTGTTAAAAAAAGAAAAAAAAAGCATTAATACTAATTTTTTTGTTATTCTACTTGCCAAAAGATTCATTTCTGTATTTCCGTGAAAAAAATGGGTAGTAGATAGTAACGACGGTGACTGAAATCCACCTTTTATTTTTTTTAGGACAATAACCGTAGTCATTATTATTAATAACACAGGCTGTTATTTTTCATTAATAACTAAACCAGAAAAAAAACCAATTAACAACATTTATAAATTATAAACAAAAACAAAATCAACAAAAGAAAAATTCATTAAATCATAATCAACCAAACACTAGAAAAAATGTTCAAAATTCCTGCCTTGTACATATAAATAAGCTCGTAATGTTTCCAAATTTTGACCATTTTTTGTAAAAGTTAGTCATCAGTACTTGTTCGGATAAAACTGATTTTGGCAAATGACATATCCGTTAAGAAAATAGAGGGCGGGTGGACGGGCCTAGTATCTGCTAAAATAAGAAATTTTGGCATATAACATACCTTCCAAGAAAAGAGAGGGTGGGTGGGCGGGGCTAGTATCTGCTAAGATAAGAGTGACTTTGGCAAATGAAAAAGAAAAGAGAGGGCGGGTGGGCGGGGCCTTTCTTTTTTCGCATCTTTTATTTACTTGTCTCTAATTCTTGTTTTGGTGTTTGTTGTCTCTTTATGCGGTTGAAAATAGACCTGTGACATTAATGTTGAAAACTTGCTGGTATTAAAACCACATTAGCATAAACTACTTTTAAATCAACAATGTTTTTTTTTTGTCGTTTTAATTTGATTTATATGAGATTTTTTTAAAGTGGAGATTTTATATTGATCTTATTGTAAATTTCACACCCATAAAAAATTGGTGACAAAAAATGTAACAAAAATACCGCTTATGTTTAATAAAATATGGACAAATACGGGCTTGTTATAAACGTTTCTTAGCAACTGATATGGAGGCGGGGTGGGTTGGCTTCGTTAATTATATGTTCATCTGTAGAGTGTGAATGGGAACTAATAGAACGTAAGCTGTTAAATAAAGAAAAAAAGCGTTAAACGTAATTTTTTTGTTATACTACTTGCTATAAGATTTATTTCCGATTGCCGATGAAAAAAATGGGAGAACGGGTGGGTGGGCGGGGTTAAATCTAACTTTCTCCTGCGGAGTCTTATATAAGCAAGCAATAGCCCCGCCCACCCACCACTTCTTCATTCTAATTACAGCTATTATTATTGTTAATTGATGACAATTAACTTTAATCTTAATCTTAGTTAATTACATGTTTTTTTGTAGATTGGGAATGGGAACTAATAAGACGTAGACTGTTAAAAAAAGAAAAAAAAAGCGTTAATAGTATATATTTTTTTTATACTATTTGCCAAAAGATTTATTTCTGATTTCCCATGAAAAAAATGAGAGAACGGGTGGGTGGGTGGGGCTAAATCTTACTTTACCCTGTGGAGTCTTTCATAAGCAAGCGATAGCCCCGCCCACCCACCCACCCCCTCTTCATTCTAGTGACGACTACTATTATTATTGTTAATTGATGGCAATTAACTTTAATCTTAATTTTAGTTAATTGTATGTTTTTTGTAGTTTGGGAATGGGAACTAATAGGACGTAGGCTGTTAAAAAAATTAAAAAAAGCGTTAATAGTAATTTTTTTGTTATACTATTTGCCAAAAGATTTATTTCTGATTTCCCATGAAAAAAATGAGAGAACGGGTGGGTGGGTGGGGCTAAATCTTACTTTACCCTGTGGGGTCTTTCATAAGCAAGCGATAGCCCCGCCCACCCACCCACTCTTCATTCTAGTGACCACTATTACTATTGTTAATTAATGACAACGTTATTATCGTATTAGAATATTAGGCAAATCTGTTCAACCGTTCATGAGAAAATAGATAAATCGTTAAACAAAAAAAGGAACATTTAGTTTTAATAAAATTTTGTAAAATAATGTAATCCTAGATTCTATTATTTGCCAAAATTTTATTTTTACTAATAATAATATTAATAATACTAACAATGGGTTTATTTTCCAACAATATAGAAACAAAAATCTAATAAATAAACGAAATAATCGAAACTACCATACATTGTAATAATCTATTTCATTCTTAAGTCTACGATTCAACAAATTGTCAATTTATTTACATAATTTAAAGTAGATGAGAGGTCCGGGGATTAATGCCGGGCAGCACCTTTTTTTCATTGATTAAATCAAAAACGGTTCATCCGATTTTTACGAAAATTTGGGAATACAAAACAACATTTTTCATTAATTTATTCCGTTCCGCTGACTTCAGTTGCGGAATTTAATCGAGAAATGCGGTATTGTTTATCACCGCTTCCATTAAAAAATGAAACTTAAATGACCTCTGATGTATTTATTTTATCTTTTAGTTTCGCAAAATCCGCGATATGGTGTCGGGAAAATAATAACTCATGTGTTCTGCAAAATATCGGTCACTGGATTAGATTGTAGATTTTGTAGTAGAATTTTTGTAAATCAGACACGAGATAAGAATGATAACATAATTTCCAAACATCCGTAAAAATGAAATATTTACCAGAAAGTCGTTTTTATGAAAGTCTTAAATAACACGCACTTTCCAAGCTTAAAAGTAATTAGACGTTAATTGCGTATAATAATAGGTGGTGACGCATGAAGTGTAGTTTGGTTTTTAGTTAAACTAGTATTTACACTTATCATTATCGCACCAGCTGCATATAAATGTTACGAAAGTTAAAATATGTTAAAAATATGGATTAGAACCACATGTTACTCAAAGTTAAGTTAATTGTTAGATCACGGAACATAATACCTTTTGCAAAATACGCAACATTTTCTCTTTTTAACATCGCCAATAAATAAGACGTTGAAATCCGCCAGATGCGGCTCTCACGCTTGCAATAATTTTTATGTGTTTATTTAAAAATATCCGCTGCGAGGTGATTGCTTCTATTAATCTGCTTGTTTACAAAGTCACGAATTCTGTGTGTTTTTTTTTAATATGGAAGTATTATTTTTTCTAGAGCCACGAGTTCAGTAAGGAGCCTTCTCGCCAGTGGGTCGAAAACGCGATCGATTCGAATTTGTTCGCCACCGCCGGCGAGCAGTACCGGGGCTTGGGCACGTCCCTGTGGTCGGCAATCAACGACGAAATCTCCCTCGAAGATTGCGACATCTACTCGTACAACCCAGATCTGGCATCCGACCCGTTCGGCGAAGACGGCTGTCTTTGGAGCTTCAATTATTTTTTCTACAACAAGCGACTGAAACGTATCGTTTTCTTCACGTGCAGAGCAGTAAAGTAAGTTTGTTGATGGTGGTGATTAGCGATGACTGAGCGTTTTGTTTGCAGTCCGTTCAACATGGATTGCGGTTACGCAACCGATTTCATCATGGATGAAGTAGATATCGCTTATTAGGTCACCCAGTGTCCGTCGATGTAATTTTAATGTGTTCAGGTTATTTCCCGGTGTTTTAGATGTTCGTTCGTACTATTTCGGTTACTATTTAGTAGTTTTGGTGAGAGCAAAAGTACAAAATCTTTTTAAAAGTCGTTATTTTGGAATTTCTAGGTTAAGGTCACAGAGGATTGTTGTGGTATTATTTTTATTACTATGTAATCGCAAGGCTTTAGAGTAGTGTTAGTAAGATAGATTTTTATTGAAATTTATTTTTGGTTACAGGTATTGTTCGATCTCACACCATTAATATGACTCAAACACGTCTAGTTATTAATGCAATATTGTACAAACTACAAGTTTCACTTATTTTTAGTACTAAAATGTATAGAATTATGTATATGTATCTATTTTCTAAAAAGGCACCGTTTGCTTGGAGTTCAAAGTTTATTTCCAAGTGCCATTCTGATAGTGAGTTAATTATATTGTATGATCTGATCAACATGTTATTTAGTCAGTTAATTTTTTTTTTTTTTTGATCCTGCACGTCTGCGTCCGTGTCCAGTGTACACAATTATAGGTAAAATAGGCAACACATTATACAGCGCACGCAGATGAACCTACTGTTTCGAGGATCTCCACCCGGACGTGTGAGCCGTTTCAACGGTTTAATTTTATTCAGGAAGCTAGAGGAGGATTTTAGCATACTGAAGTCGTGTGATTTGAATAATAAAGGATATTTGCTGTCAACTTTTATACATATTAAGATCAGGTGGCGTGTAAGCTGGAACACCTGACGATTAAATTTCGTTGATAACATAAGCCCGTTTTATTAACGTTTTATTTTACATAAAATCTCGTGAAAAGACATCTTTATAGCAGCAGCTTCATTTCCATAATATTTTTAATAAGTACTTAGCGCAAAGAGGTCGTAATTATCTTGTTATTTTTGGACGCAATTAATTCTTTTAATGTCGTGTTTTTCGGTTAAGAGTTGTAAACTTACGTAAGTGGAGTGGTAATACGTGTTTATTACATTGTGGGTTACTACCAGCTTTTGGAGTGAGTGTGTGATCCAGAAAAATCGAAGAATTTAGATAGCTTATTAGCTATTATAATGAAGCAAATATTTGAGGAACTTAAAAACTGTCCTAAAAAAGTTCAATGTTGATTTTCCGGAAATATTTTAAGATTTACAAAAACGGTATTTCATAATATTTGAAGACGATAAAAGAATACTGGAATCTCTGCTGTATTATCCGTAATTTGGTTGACTGTTCTAATGTAAAAAAATCTGTAATTTCTGCTATTTGTTTAAGTTCTCGAAAGTAATAATAACAATACGAATAATAATTAATAATAATCAGTTGTGAACATTTTATATCGTTCCTAAATAAGTTCTTTTTAATAGTTTTGAATATAGGTTAACATCAATGATTCTCGATCAGAGTGGTGGAAATGCTGTGAGAAGAATATGTTGAGTGACTCATCATAATTTGTCACTTAGGCTTTGATCAGTGGCGTATCATTTGCCTTCTGAACACTCAAGTGAACATTATATTGGGAGTCCATCGGGCGACTGGTTTATTTTCGTGTTTTATTGACGTTTCATAGTCCATAGAGTACGAAAAAATAAGTCCCCGTATCCGCTTGTCGGTCTGTCATTTACTATAGTTCTCGAGTTTTTACCCTACGCATCCAGATTTTTGGTAAAAATACTAAAATTGTATAATTTTAAATTTAACATACAATTTTACTTTGAAATGCAAAATCGAATGCTTTGAAACGTCGGAAGTATAGTAAATCGTTTAATCAAAATGTCATCTTACAATTTTGTCAAATAAATGTTATTTAAATTTATATGTTAAAAAGTAACACAGTCCCGGACTGTGGTTAATGAATCCGACTTGAATTTTTATCAGATATCAAGATTTTTTAACAAAAACAAAACTGAATGAGAATTTTTCGATTTTTCGACTCTCCGAATTCTCGGTTTTCAGTTTTTCATCTTTTCGATTTCACGATTCTTCAGTCTGGGGATTTTTCAATTTGTCAATTCTTCGACTTTTTGATTTTCCAAATTTCGGACTTCTCGATTTGTCGTTTTTCGACTTTTCAATTTTTCGGGTTCCCGATTTCTCGATTTTTCAATTTTTTGAACTTTTCATTTTTCGATTTTTTGATGTTCTGATTGCTCGATTTTTCAATTTTTCAGATTTTCAATTTTCGATTTTAAAATACATATGTCGATTTTTCAATTTTTCTTTTCTTTAATTTTTCATTTTTCGATATTTAGATTTTTCAGTTTATCGATTTTTTGAAATATTTGAGGATTATGCTGTTCTAAGGATTTGAGTGAGGATAATGGTGTTCTAAGAATTTGAGGATTATGGTATTCTGAGGATTTGAGAATGCGGTGTTCTGAGGATTTGAGGATTGTGGTGTTTTAAAGATTTCAGGACTCTGGTGTTCTGAGCATTTGAGGATTGAGGTATTTTGAGAATTTGAGGATTATGGTGTTCTGAGGATTTAAGGATTATGGTGCTCTGACAATCTGAGAATTCCGGTGTTCTGAGGATTTGAGGATTATGCGGTTCTGAGGATTTGAGGATTATGCGATTCTGAACATTTGAGAATTATGCTGTTCATGAGGATTTGAGAATTATGGTGTTCTGAGGATTTGAGGATTGTGGTGTTTTCGAAAATTTGAGCATTATGGTGTTCTGAGGATCTGATGATTATGGTGCTCTGACAATCTGAGAATTCCGGTGTTCTGAGGATTTGAGGATTATGCGGTTCTGAGGATTTGAGGATTATGCGATTCTGAGTATTTGAGGATTTTAGTGTTCTGAGGATTTGAGGGTTATGAAGTTCTGAAGATTTGAGAATTGTGGTGTTCTGCGGATTTGAGGAATATGAGGTTCTAAGGATTTGAAGAAAATGGTGTTTCGAGGTTTTGAAAATTATGGTGTTTTGAGTATGTGAGCATTATGGTGTTCTGAGGATTTGAGGATTGAGGTATTTTTAGGATTTGAGGATTTTGGTGTTCTGAGGATTTGAGGATTATGTTGTTCTGAGGATTTGAGGATTATAGTGTTCTGAGGATTTGAAGAATACGGTGTTCTGAGGATTTGAGGATTGGGGTGTTCTGAAGATTTGAGGATTGTGGTGTCCTGAGGATTTATCTATTGTTGTGTTCTGAGGATTTGAGTATTATGCGGTTTTGAAGATTTGAGGATTTGAGGAATATGCAGTTTTGAGGATTGAGTTGTTCTGAGAATTTGAGAATTATGCTGTTCTGAGGATTTGAAGACTGGTGTTCTGAAGACTTGAAGATTGTGGTGTTCTGAGGATTTGATGATTGTGGTACTCTGATTATTTAAGGATAATGGAGCTCCGAGGATTTGAGGATTGGAGTGTTCTGAGGACTTGAGGAATGTATTGTTCTTAGCATTTGAGGATAATGCGGTTCTGAGGATTTGAGTGTTTGAGGATTATGGTGTTCCGAGAATTTGAGGATAATGGTGTTTTAGAGGATTTGAGTATTATTGTGTTCTGAAGACGTGAGGAATGTGGTGTTCTGATCTGAGGACTTGAGGATTGTGGTGTTCTGAGGATTTGAGGATTGTGGTGCTCTGAGGATTTGAGGATTGTGGTGTTCTGTGGATTTGAGTATTATGATGTTCTGAGGACTTGAGGATATTGTGTTCTGAGGATTTGAGGATTATGGAGTTCATAGGATTTGAGGATTCTGGTGTTCTGAAGATTTGAGGATTATGGTGTTCTGAGGATTTGGGGATTATGGTGTTCTGAAGATCTGAGGATTGTGGTATTCTGATGGTGCGAGGATTATAGAGTTCTGAGAATTTGAGGATTATGGTGTTTTGAGGATTTGGGAATTATGCGGTTCTGAAGATTTGAGGATTGTAGTGTTCAGAGGAATTGAGGAATGTTGTGTTCTTAGGATTTGAGAATAATGCGGTTCTAAGGATTTGAGAGTTTGAGGATTTGGGGGTAATGGTGTTTAGAGGATTTGAGGATTATTGTGTTCTGAGGATGTGATTATTGTGATGTTCTGAGGATTTGAGGAATATGCGGTTCTGAGGACTTGAGGATTCTGGTGTTCCGAGAATTTGAGGATTGTGGTGTTCTGCGGATTTGAGGATTATGGTATTTTGAAGATTTGAAGATTATGCGGTTCTGAGGGTTTGAGGATTATGATGTTCTGAAGACTTGAGGATAATGGTTTTTTGAGGAATTGAGGATTATGCGGTTCAGAGGATTTGAGGTTTCTGGTGTCCTAAGGAATTGAGGTTTATAGTGTTCTGGGGACTTGGGGATTATGGTATTCTCATTATGCGAGGATTATAGAGTTCAGAGAATTTGAGGATTATGGTGTTTTGAGGATTTGGGAATTATGCGGTTCTGAGAATTTGAGGATTGTAGTGTCTTGACGAATTGAGGAATGTTGTGTTCTTAGGATTGAGAATAATGCGGTTCTAAGGATTTGAGGACAAAATGGTGTTTAGGGGATTTGAGGAGTATTGTGTTCTGAGGATGTGAGGATTGTGATGTTCTGAGGAATTTAGGATTATGGTGCTCTGAGGATTTGTGGATTTTGGTGTTCTGAAGATCTGAGGATTATGCGGTTCTGAGCACTTGAGGATTCTGGTGTTCTGAGAATTTGAGGATTGTGGTGTTCTGCGGATTTGAGGATTATGGTGTTTTGAGGATTTGAGGATTATGCGGTTCTGAGGGTTTGAGGATTATGATGTTCTGAGGACTTGAGGGTAATGGTTTTTTGAGGAATTGAGGATTATGCGGTTCAGAGGATTTGCGGTTTCCGGTGTCTTAAGGAATTGAGGTTTATAGTATTCTGAGGATTTGAGGATTATCGTATTCTGATTATGCGAGGATTATAGAGTTTAGAGAATTTGAGGATTATGGTATTTTGAGAATTTGGGAATTATACGGTTCTGAGGATTTGAGGATTGTACTGTGTTGACGAATTGAGGAATGTTGTGTTCTTAGGATTGAGAATAATGCGGTTCTAAGGATTTGAGGACAAAATGGTGTTTAGGGGATTTGAGGAGTATTGTGTTCTGAGGATGTGAGGATTGTGATGTTCTGAGGAATTTAGGATTATGGTGCTCTGAGGATTTGTGGATTTTGGTGTTCTGAAGATCTGAGGATTATGCGGTTCTGAGCACTTGAGGATTCTGGTGTTCTGAGAATTTGAGGATTGTGGTGTTCTGCGGATTTGAGGATTATGGTGTTTTGAGGATTTGAGGATTATGCGGTTCTGAGGGTTTGAGGATTATTATGTTCTGAAGACTTGAGGGTAATGGTTTTTTGAGAAATTGAGGATTATGCGGTTCAGAGGATTTGAGGTTTCTGGTGTCCTAAGGAATTGAGGTTTATAGTGTTCTGAGGATTTGGGGATTATGGTATTCTGATTATGAGAGGATTATAGAGTTCTGAGAATTTGAGGATTATGGTGTTTTGAGGATTTGGGAATTATG